TCCCGAAGAGAGAAAGAGGGAGAGAGAGAGAGAAGTAACCTTTTGTTCCAGGATCCATCGATGGATACGTAGGTGGCCGGCAAGACGACGGGGGCGAGACACGCGGTCCAAGCAGAAGAAAGCAAGAAGAAGAAAGAAGAAGAAAATGAGTAGATCCTCCTTCTTTCTTCTTCCGCCGTGTCGGACGTGTCCCGTCCGCGCGTTTTCGTCCCTTGGCCACGAAAAAACAACCGAGAAAACATCAACGGTCGTCTCCTCCTCTTATCCCAGAAAGAAGGCTTGTTCAACGGGCTCTAATGAAACCGATTCCAGGTCACCGACATATCCACGGGTCCAATAAACACCTCTTTTCCGAGCCACAGGTTCCACGGAATCCACACGTGGACTGATGATGATGACTGATGACACCTGGCATATCCAAGACGTTTCATCCCGAACGGAAATTGTTTTTTGTTTTCCCTGTTTCTAGCAGATCGATCCCTCTCTGTCTATCTACAGTTGAAGCCTCGAGATCTCTAATCTTGTCGTTGACCTTTGACGATGAAATATCATGGTAATGCGTAACAGTACTTCTACAACGAGGAGTTCCCAGACACTGGACGGCGAAATGTGTGTCAGAAGGATTCCCAATTCTTGACGAAAAGGGAGGAGACAGAGAATGACCGAAAGGGAGATATATGGAAGGAGTCGCGGCGTGTTACGAGCCATGTCGCATTCAATTTCACGCGGTCAGTTTTCTGGTAATTGGCAGAACAGCGGCCAAAGGAGGGGACGCGAAGCATGCGCCCAACGTTTTCGTCGGTGTTAGTTTAATCGAATCCGAAAGAGATTCTCTCTTTTGGGCTCTGGCGACAAAGACCGTTTGACTAAGCTTGTATGTGTGTGCACGGTAACAACAGACGAAAAGGCTCAATCGAGTAACAATAGAGCCGCGGTGCCACGAGAGGCGCGGTTAGGGTCCTTTTACATCGACGTAAGGTTAACTTACATAATGTATGAATATTGAGTGGAGCGAGGGAGCTTGAAACGATGAGTCACAGACAGGGAATTCTTGTCGACGCGCGCGGTCGAATCCGGTAACCGACGCTTTTTTTCTTTCCTTGTTTCCCTTCTTCGCGTGGAACGGCTTCGGGCGAGCATTGTGCTCGCCTCCGATGAACAAAATTCCGGTTAATAAGGTATGCCGAATAAAGAATACTTGTAGGAAATCTCTGAATCTAGTGGGAACAATAACTCTTATGATCGAATCGAAGGTGAACGATTATGTTGGATGACCAACGTCATAACTCACTAGAGCAGTGATGGGCAACCGAGCCCGCACGGGCAAGTGGCGGGCACCCGCGGGCTCCTGTGAAGGCGACGCGATGCAGGAAACGTAACGACATATTTGCGAATTGGGATTCCTTGACCCTTCTCGCACATTTTAATCTAAACTAGCGTATCACTCGTATAGATTAATAATCATTTATGTTTCTTTTTATTCGAGACAGATAGAAGCATCCTGATCTTGTGTCGGCCACGCGAAAATGGTGCATTTATATTAAGTTGTATTATGTATAAGTAGTATTTAATGCAATTGTTATTAAATTTATACAAATACCATTGTAAATTGTATATTTTCTTACGATTTTTCAAGAAGAAACAGTCAAACCATACATACGCGTTATTCATTAATCCCGCACTATCTCCACTCCTATTCGTAATATCAATTAACCGAGAAAGTAATAAGAAATAATAAATAACAACAAAATAATTAATTCTAAAACTTTTAAGTCTTGGAAGAAGTGGGGGCGCCACTAAATGACCTATAAATTTCCAAATTTTTCCGGCACTTTTCTGAATCCAAGATGGCGGACAAACCTGAAAGTTTGTGGCGCCCTGGTGGGGGCCTAGAGACCCCCAGGGCCCTTTCCCCACCTCATTTCTCCTAGCGGAAGCTGAGTATGTTCGTGAGGGTACCAAGAACATGGTTTTTCGTTAATATCTCGGTAACGAAGCCTCGGATTACATTGTTGCTAAGGAAGAACATGTTCCAATTCATTCCCCGACTGACCCATTTCCGGGTCGAGCAACCTTTCTGTTACACCCTATATAATACCAAAAAATCTACAATCCAGGCAATAATACTTCGAGTCTTTCGTCAGCATCACGTCAGTTTCTTATTGAAAATTCAATATTGCCTTCCTCTTACACTGAATTTCCAGCAGTTCCAAACTTCGAGAACACCTGGATCAACATGGATCCAGGTGCCGTCCAAGGAAGACCTGCACGCATCGGAGACAATCTAATTGCACTAAAGAAGATAACCGAACCTGCATCGAAACGTGAATTTGGCAACAATGTCTAGCTATGAATCAATCAGGCAGAAGGCAATGCGACTAGGCTAGAGCGTTTTCGTGGCAAAAAGGGGAACGAAGAATAGTGAAATTGACTCGTTAGTCGCGAGTCGAGGTGAGGTGGTACCACAATGCGAGGCACACACGTACACACGCAGGTTTGCATGTGTGGGGGCCTGCGCGTGGAATTCGTGAGAGTGTCAACCCACGCACGGGCAGGCTCGACACAACGGGAAACGATGACGCTGGCCGATCTCAAAGGCATCCATCGATCGCGAGCCAGTCAACGGTTCGCGCAGAGCCTCGACGACCGACCGACTTTATGAGTTATAAGTCGGCCATCTTTGCGAGAGCCATCGCATATTCACGTGCGCGCATACGCGATGCACTGGCAATATGTAAGTGCCACACATTCTGCTCTGGTGCACCGGTACAGTCTAATCTAAAAACTATTCGTTCCTCTTGCGATTCTTCCACGTGTCTTATGGATTTTACTTACGGGTGATTCGACGCGAAATCGGACACTTTTTGGAGCAGGGATGTTCGATTCTGATTCGATTCTTTAAAATATCGATTCTTTTACTGAAAAAATGCTATTCGATTTTTACGAGAATCGATTCTTTAGGGCATAGCCACAGGCGGACGAAGGTGGAGACTCTATAACAAAGACTGGAAAGTATTCCGAAATTTTTTTATAAATTTCTGAATAGTACACCATATTTATGATTAATTTTGGTTTTAGCTTCGAGATCGCTGGTGCTCATACGCAAGGTAATAGGAAATAAGTACTTTATTTTTACAATCAAATGTTCCGAAAATTTTTTACCTGATTATTTAATCATACGTATATGTCAGAGCCAGGAATGCAAATCAATTGAATATAATGATGCTATAAGAAACTCGTTTAGCATTATAGACTTTAACATTTATAGAATTTTAAGGTCAAGTGTCCGACTTCGCGTGGAATGACTACACGAAAATTATTTTATTCGTTCTAGATTCTCGTTTGTCGATTGTTCCGTTGGATCCCACGAGTATCTAGGAATTGTTATCGATATAAATCTCAATTAGTGAATCAGTAGATCCTCAAAAACCGGATGGTAATCAAGATTTCTTACGACAATGACAAGAAGAAAGTATTTACCGATAGACATGCTGGATAAGGCCTTTCTTCGTTCGAACGATCAATCGAATCTGTGTCTCGATCGCCTATTAACTTTCTATATTTTCCAGCGCTGATCCCCTCTGACTGGGATCCTTCAAAAGCTAACCAGGAATCGGTGATCGGGTTCTGATAAGAGCCGTGTCCTCTTTTTACCGAATCGACACGGTTTCTCATTAACTACCCAATGATCTCCTCTTACGATCGATCCAGACGTTTTCGTTTTTTTTTACCGGTGGTTATCAATGTTCCGGAAGAAAACTCGGTGGAATTATCGATGAGAGAAGGATGAATTCCTGACAGGCGTTTCATTAAACGGTGGATCTGGATCGTGCACCGACGGACGTGTACGTATACGAGCGTTCCTCATTCGAAGAAACTATTAATTCCCATCGCTAATTCGACGTTCACGCTACATTTGACTCGCGGCCTGTCCAGGAATCGATCGCGTATTCGTTTCGCAACATCAAAACCCGGCCAAGGATCGAGCCGGTGCAATCGTCGCGATAACGGAAACAATGAACACCAGCGTCCAGTTGTTCCCAAGATTAATTTTTCTATTTTACTTGCCGCCAGTTTCACGGGTGTATTGCTCGATAAGACTTAGCCGCTGAAAAACGGAGGTCGCGTAGAAATTGATTTCGCGCCAGGGAACGACCAGTTGTCAATTGCTTCCGTAGCCCAGCCCCCAAAATTCAATGCCAGCCAATCGTCTCGAGTCCCGTTGTTGGCTACGACCACGACTGTTTCAAGTGGAACGACCCTAATGTCTCTTCGACAACGAGACGCGACTTCTGGTGTAAATAATAACGATTCTACGAGCACGACAATGTCAGAGTTCGTTCGGAAGATCCGCTGCATTCTCAAAAATCGGGGATAGTTTTGCAGCGGAGCAATTGTTTCTATCCGAAGTAGAAGACCAGGTACGAGAAACGAAACCCTGGACGGCAATTAACGACAGTTAGCCCCGATAGGTCTAATTAGTTTATGTGGATCTGCTCGCCATTAGCGGTATGTGGATCAGAGGTCGCGAATTTTTACGAAGGCTCTACTGAAATCGATCCAAGGTTCTTGAAGCTATTGGGATCGATTGTAAAATCTAGTTGTCATAGGTGTCAAAAAAAGTTCTAAAGTATCAGAGGTAGAGGATTCACCGTCACAGAGTTCAGACAGATCGATCCAAGGTTCTTAAAGCTCCAGGGATCGATTGTAGAGCCTAGTTGCAATAGGTGTCGAAAATATTCTAGGGTATTGACGTAAAGGACTCACCGTCCCAGGGTTCAGAAAGATCGACCCAAACTCCTTAAAGCTCCTGGGATCGATTGTAAAATCTAGTTGTCATAGGTGTCAAAAAAACATCTAGAGTATCAGAGGTAGAGGATTCACCGTCACAGAGTTCAGACAGATCGATCCAAGGTTCTTAAAGCTCCTGGGATCGATTGTAGAGCCTAGTTGCAATGGGTGTCGAAAAGATTCTAGGTTATCAGATGTAAAGGACTCACCGTGAGGCTGCTGTCCGGTCGCAGGGTTCAGAAAGGTCGGCGGTAGCTGTCTGCTGACCGACTTTGCCAATTCCCCGCCTGCCAGCCCGTAGATCGCTAGCAGCTCCTGCATGGTGGACTCCGCATACTCCCTCATGCCCTCGAAGGGCTTCCTCTCCTCGCAGTCGACCTCCCCATCCCCGTCCTGTCCCCGATCGTCCTCGAACGGCGTGGTGTCGTCCAAACGACCTGACTCCTCGGCGTCCAGCACACCGCTGTCGCTCTTCTCGGACGAGTCCGAGTTTGGACTTCTGGCCTGGACAGTCGGGGCAAGAAAGCATTCCATCAATCTGGAGAAAACTGTAGTAGGTAACCCCCACTTCCCTCCCGTCATGAAGAGCGGAAGTTGCGTGGCTCAGTTTAAGGATCCAGAATGTGGATCACTTCGTTCCCTAGATTCCTACTTATTGCTTTGATTCCTGGGTATATTATCATTGATACACGGAGAAGGAAGCTTCGACCGTCAGTTTTACTCGAAGGTTGGAGGAAGAATAGGGTAAATGGCGAGATAAAAAAAGTCCGATAACATACCTCGGTGCCAGGGGAGTAGAGCTTCTGAGACCTGAGCTGCTCTAGGATGAACTTGTGCCTAAGTGAGTCCCCACTGTCATCGTCAGCCTCGGACGATGGCGGTCTAGTAGCCACGGACAGGTCCATGGGACTGACCTCGTTGTTGTTCAGTCGTTGCTTCGACCTGTCTTCAGCGGGCAACAGCATAGTCTTCCTCTCGTACTCCAGGATCTCGCTGGAGCTCTCCTCCATCGCCTCGAGTTCCTCGTCATCTTTCTCCGAATCGTCGGACACCTCGACCATACGGCTGCTGATAGGCTTGAAGTTCTTCCGTTTGTTCCGTGGTTTCTGGATACTCGTGATCTGGAGCTGGGCCTGACCCTCGTACTGGGAGTCGCTGTCCTGATCGGCGGTCCCCCGTCGGGTAGTCGCGTAGTTGTACACCGAGTCGGAAAGCATCTCCGCTGATGGAAAGGAATCGGTGTCAGAGTGTTCCACGGGATCGACTGGGACCCGTGGGCACCGGCGAAAATTGAGAATAAAGATTCTCTTTTTAAAGTGGAAATCGTGTGACGGTTTATCATTTTGTTTGGGAAGTGGTCGATTAATTAAGCGTCTACCAAAGGTCGATCGATTGAGTAGACGGCAGTAAATGAGGATCTTTGTGTTAGATGTAGATGTTTGGTTGGGTTGTGTTACTGTCTTGGGAATTAGTGGTTCCATTTGAGTGGACTCTATCAATGCGTCTCGAGATGGAACAGGAAGTGTTCCGGAGTCCATTAGAGTAGACAACCCTTTTTAATGAATTTGACAGTTCACGTTATAGTCCCCAGGTGGAAGCAAAGAATTTTGAGCACAGGCTAAGTTATTTTATCATTGTACACGGCTGTCGCTGACTTGAATCGATGGATCCTAAACAGACCATTGCGCAATCCGAAGGCCGTTCGCTTGCCGCGAATCAAATTTTAACGTTAATTAGAATTCAGCCAGGACGCCCGTTAATTGAACGTTCTCGGAATAGTTATGGTGCTCAAACAGCTATTAACATTCGGTCAAATGGAGGAATAATAAATACGTGATAGAAGGTGGCGTGGCTCAGCATGATTAAAGGAACGGGATAGTGGGTGGCGTTTGTGGACTCTACGCTAGAAGAGGAAATGTCTTACTAGGGCCATACGGGCTGGTTACGGCGGACATCTCGAAACTCCTGAACCGGCCGGCTCCTCAATGCATTCTGAAACAGAAAGAGGACCCAACGTTAGATCCACAATAACCATTCATTTTGAATTCTTTATAACAATCTAGAGACCTCAAGATCAGCAGAAGGTTTCAAAGAATCTCTAGACCCAATTTTTCTCTTTAATATCCTATTGTAGTGCAATTAATTGGTGATTGGAATTAATTTGGCATACAGGCCAAAGTTTGCTCAAATAATAACGGCTAAAGGATCGACGATAGGATTCGCTGACAAACATCCTGCTTCCCCGAACAGCTGACACGGATGACCGGAACGTGGAAAGAAATATCCCCCGGCTTATCTATTTCTGTGTCAGTGCGAAACTGGGTTACGCGGCAAGTTCAGCGAAACCCCCGGACGGGTCCGTCACGGCGAACGAACGAAACCGTCCAGCGCCGTTTTGCCGCGGCGCTGGAACGAGACGCGAGAACAAGGCGAAAACAAAGGCACGTCGTCGTAACAAAAGCTACGCTGATATACGAGCGCTGCTCGGTCAGCCGAGAGCAAACGGGCCCGCGATAACGCGAGAGAGGCCACGGACAATTCGTTTCTCGGTTACGACGAATGGTCCCGCGGCGATCCGCGAGGAAGTCGGTTATTGGAGGGACAGAGAGGGAGAGGAAAAGCTGGTGGAAGCTCGGATTAACTTGTATTTGAGCTTAATAGAGGTCAGAAGAGGATTTTAAGTAATTGCTGAAGATAGAAGTCCTTGTTTGAAATAATTGTTTTGGAAGAAATTGAAGATTGGTACTTTAGTGTAAGGTGTACCTGAGCTTAATAGAGGAAGTAATAGATGATTGGTACCTTGGTGTAAGTTGTACCTGAGCTTAATAGAGGGAACAATAATTCTGATTGTGGAAGACAGAGGACACTGTTTCAATTGTTTTCGAAGAAATAGATGACTGAAGCTTGTGTAGGATAATATGTCCGTGTATACGTTTTATATAATTATATAGAGAATAAACGATACACTACAGAATAATCCACGAACTTAACACTGAACCTACCGAACCATTCAAAAAGTTTGGAATTAGAACGACAAAACAGGTTATTTAAAATATTCCTTGTTACTATATCAGAAACCCTTCAGTACTTAAATATCTTAAGATTCTTATTATATTTCTGTTTTGTGCCTAAACGTAATAGAATTTAATAGCGAGCCCGACGAACAGTTCGAGAACATTCACGACCCCGAAACGGAAGACATTCGTCTCCAGTCGAACGATGGAATTTCGACGGGACATTGGGGGAAAATGATTTCTTGCGCGAGCGAGGACAGCCGCGCTTGTTCGTCGTCGTCACCCGTATTCGTCGGCGAACCCTTAATGGGCCGCGTTTTAGTGCGGAAATAAATAACCGATAATGAACCGGGCAAAAACGGAACTAACGATTTTCAAGCCGAATTAGGCAGGCGAGCTCCGAATGCCTTCGCCCGCGAGTTATCCAAATCGACTCCGTGGAGGGAGAGCCTGACTGACTGGTCGTCGACGCGATGATTCGAGCAATCAGCAGCCCGAAATAAATGACTGCTGATGAGCCCGGCAAGGAAAGAAACTTCCATTCAGGGCTAACTAGATTCCTCTCGGTTGTTCGACACTCTGTTCACGCGGCTGGCTGCTGCCAGGGATCGACCGGTCGACTTCTGAGGGATATTTCGACCGCGTCTGTCAAGCTTAATGAGCACTACTCAACAAGCCACTACCGTCTACTCTGAATATAACTTCGGCTTCGAAGTGGCTACCGCTCTGCAATCTAATTACCTATGTATCTCTCACTTCAGTATCTCGGACTCTATGAATCTCTCCAAAAACTCACTAGACAATTAGTGATGCGAAATAATTCTCTGTAAGTAGATTTCAGTATTCACATATAAAACTAATCAAAACCCTCTACCATATCGATATAACTCCTATGGGCCCTCCAACGACACGAGTCAGTAGAAATAACCAAAACATTTCCACCTAAATGGTCATCACTGGACAACTGATGTTTATGCAAATACAGACATTTGGGAGTTAATTTACAGACTCTGGAGTCTAAACAAGATCTGTTTACCTTATTCACTATTCTATAAGGTTCGAAAATATATAAAACCTCAGCCCAGTATACCCAAAAAATTCAGACACCCTAAGACTTAGGCCCTGAACTATCTCCACTCCCAAGGACCATCGATTCGAAGCTACGCGTTGATTCCCATACCGTTGACAAGTACAGTCAGCCAGTACTCGGGGTTCCAGCGAAATTTCCCTAGCGGCCACGCCGGAAGTGGAACGCGATTGGAGGTTCGAACGGCCAGGCTGGGCCACGTGACCCGTTTCCCAGCGAGAGAGACAGAGCCGAGAGACCTCCCCGACGGGGGATGGTGCACGGAGTGGACGATATGTCCGAGCGGGACCCGGGGCTCTCTTTTTTCGCCGGCTGTACACAGAAGGGATAATTAACATCTGTTACAGTACGTACCGGCGTAGCGGGGGCCGCCCCGTTTCATCCCCACCACCGTTCACGGGGCGGACCTTGAATACATTATCACCCTGTTTGCACATGAACGTAACCGTACGTACGTACACCAGGCGGTCGAATCGGAGTGCAGCGGGATCGACCCTGAACAATGGGGACCCGGAGCCTCTTTGTTGCTCCGCCGCGGTAGAGAAGGCCTCTCTTCTTTCGGCAACGGTGGAGTAGTCCTGTTTTATGTTTTTTTTTTTCTTCTGAACTCCCGGTTTCCACGGTGGATTGGAAGTCTGAATATGACTGTGTAGTTTGGTTAGGTAAGAGTATTTTTATTGTAGCAAATATCAATTGTATGTCATCTGGGATGTTCGAGTTTGATTCGAGTCTTTCGCTGACATCTATTACATGTATACTAACGAGCAAAAGTATAGGACCAAAGTTCATGATTGAGGGAGACAGTAACTTATTATTCTGTTGTGATAAAACAAAAGTTACGGAATCAGTATGTATACAGAAATTAATTCCCATCGGTTTAATACGTTGCATTAACACCTTGCCTTATAACGTCGAGTCAGGCTCGTGGTAACGATGTCAAAGTGGATTCAATAAACAGAAATAGTATTTGTTTTCTTTGAGTCAAAGTGAAATACTTGTTTGCTGATCTTAATATTTAAGGGGTCAGTCAGAAATTTTCAAAAAAATCGTTTTTTCACTTTCTACATTTTCTTTAGGTACAACATCTCGAGAATATTCTGTGCAAGTTCCAAGGTAATCCCATTATAAATGACGAAGTTATAGGCGTTAAAAAATGAACATTTTATATAAGTGGACAATGGGTTAATTACCTCTTTGTAGAATATAATATTTTCCTCGTTTCACCTGTCACCGAAATTCAGCTGACCCGACAGTGAACCTGTTAAACTTCCATTGCAACTTCAGAAGATATTCTGCACTCTCAGTCCAGAACAAAACCAGCGATCGTGCGATTTCTTATGAATGGAAGCAACAGAACTCAGGGAACAGCGTGTATACAGAGAGATTCTTGGCAGTGAACGCGTTAATAACCGGAAAGGGGTTTAATGATTCGTCCAGTATCCACTTGTCCTCCGCAACGTCCGCAGAAGAGGATCGTAGCGTGGAAAAGACATCCCCTTGAGAACTGTATTCTTCACATGGAAATTCTGGTCGGACTGAGGTTTCCCCCGATCTATCCTAGTCTCTGGATCTCTGTTCCTTCGGCGGAGGGGTCACAGCGGTTCTTTCGCGGGGATTCGAGAAAAAGAGAAATTCCGGCTGGCCTAGATTCCTGGGGCGCCGGTCGCGAACCCACCCGAGAATAAAGACGGAATACCGCCTCGCCGTGGAAACTGCCCGCGACGGGAAACCTTGGGATTCCGCGGGCTATTATTCGAGACCACGGCAAAAACAGATGCGTCTAATGATTTAATTCGAACCCCGAGAGAAGTTTAAACGATTAGAAAAAAAAGGCGACTGCGGAGAAGCTGATTCTATGACGATGAACACCGTCTGTTTGGAGTTAGGTGTGTGGAGGCGAGTAGAAATTGAGACATTTTCCTTGGACAGGTTGCTATGTACTTCGCAGAAGTGATGCTTGAGTTCCTGGGTACCTTGTGATGACTGTCGAGGAGTTATACAATGGGTATGACTCTAGTCAAGTCGCAAGGGAATGCTAGATTCGAAAGACACAAGTCTCTAGGGATCTGAATTTAGAATGAGTCGGCCAAGATTGACGATGTAATATCAAGATTATGGGTCTGGAATTCTTTTCTATCCTAATAATGTTCTTGAGACGATGACACCGAGAAATAGCTGATCTTCCTGGTAACAGGCATCCCTCATCAAGAGTACCCTAAGATGAACCACCTTAAGTTTTAATTGCTCCAAAAAATTCTACAGCTTACAATCGTGAATTCCTTAATTCCCCAACTAAAAGACTGACCTAAACTCCCGAAGTAGAATAAGAACACCAGCATTCAAAGGAACCGAGCTCGACGTTCCAATTTCCAGGATTAGATCAGGGATTTCGGGTAGATCTGGACCAGATGCCGGATCGGTTAAAAAGTAAGTAAAAATCGAGTTGAAAGGCGGGGGGGGGAGCAAGGCGTTCCCGTTTCCCAGGAATCGGGGAAAGGTCAACGTTCCGTGACAAAAGGATCATTAAGACCAAGGAACGATCGGGCACGGATTCTGGCAAACGAGCACCCGAAGAGACAGCAGTTGGCCCGTGAGAGAGACCTCTGGCCTGCCATCCACTCAACATAGCTCGACGCTGATGCCGATACCAGAAGCAGGAAAACAAAAAAGGCAGGCGACGTAACGCGGTATCGTTCGTCAAACACTTGAAACGTAATGTTGCCAGGCCTCGGGGCTGCCTCATGTTGGCCTCTTCAAGTGCCCGCCGGGATCCCCGGTAGATTTATTCAAATTCGCCAGGCTTCAAACACATGTATACATTTCTCGAGATACTCGCTGGTTTCTCATCCGTGGAACTCTTTTTCGTTTTCTC